TGCCATCCCATATATAGTCAGACCATGGTCATCTTATAAAGTAGACAATGCCATCCCATATACAGTCAGACCATGGTCATCTTATAATCTTATAAAGTAGACAATGCCATCCCACAGATAGTCAGACCGTGGTCATCCTAGACAGTAAACAGTGAGAAAATGTCACCCCATCAGAGGGACGAGTGCCACAAACTATCACCGGAGACCTGAGATCACATGTTTTAGTCAGTGTTTTTCAACCCATAGCAACACAATAAGATCATATAACTGCTGAAGATTCGAAGTGTTACAAGAGAGTAACAGATACAAAAAACGAAGGAGGAGAGATAAGTTTTAAAGGATGATAGATGTTTGATAGGAAAGAAGAAGCAAACCACAACAGAGCACCCGTCAACCACCCGCGGGATCACATGACAATCCTGGTCAGTAGATTTTGGTTACATTTCCAAAGGACAAATGCAAATGGAAGAAAATGGAATGGAATGAAATAAAAACAGTAGATTTGTTAGGTAAAATTACAAATTCAAAGTCGAAGAAAATGGAATGCGATTTAAAAGCAGTCTCCTCGCCACCTTCACAAGCAGTCAGAAACAGTAGGAGACATGACATGAATGTACCACACTTTTTTACATTTGTCCAATATTTGCTGCAATAAAAAATAAAGGCTGATCCCAAGCCTGTAGCCTGGTGACACAGTGAAGTGGTAAATTTTAACGCCCCTATCAACACTACATGTACAAAATAATTTTTTGAGAAATACTCAAAGTTTCAAAGAGATCTTCGTACTAGAAGTGTATTCTAAAAGGTGAAGAATACAACCCCGGGGGTACAAAATGACCCAGGGGCGTACAGATAAGATTAAGAGGCGGGGACCTACAAGTTTAACGCCTGTCTCCGAAAGGACCACCTGTAGCCAGGTAAAAAAGTTTTTATAAAATATAATGAGGAGAAGCTGGCCCTGCCACAGGAGCTTGGGTCATGACGGGGCTCAGACTTGCAGCCACTTCCACCATCTCGCAGTTGTAAGTTGAGTAAAGAGAGGCACATCTACACAATAAGGGTCATATAGTGCAGGAAAGAAGCAAGACAGATATATAGAAACAACAGAGGGAAAGAAAAGAGGCAGAACCTACTAGTGGCACCCTCCAACCACCCGATTCCACCATATGACAATGGCAGTTCTCACCAACACATTCGTGAAAGTCAGTAGAGAGTGAATCAGTCATTATCACAAGCAATTTTCAATTATAGAGACATTTTTAAAAAACAACTAACACTAAAAATCAGTTTTAAAAAAGTTGAAGTCAAATCCCCCAGCACACTCAACTCATCACAAAGAGTTGTTTTTCTTTTGTATTGTAAAAAATGGCAGAGTTACAGTTTGGTGACTTTTGAGAAATCAAAGTTCTAAGTTTGGAACTCCATATATTAAAGAAAGAATATATAAAAATTTGCTTGATCATTTTTAGCATAAAACATGGACCCTGCAGGATTTTCTCCCTCTCAGGTGATATGTTGAGCTGTAGTACCATAAACCATGGGGTATGATTCAAAATCTTTTAAAATTCTGCCATGTCTCAGGGGGAAAATGTTCTATACCCCATACGACACAATTTACTAGGCTGGTAAAAGAATGAATCAGAGTTCTTCAACTACAAACATCCCAGAAAACATAACTCAAACACACAGTTATTATCTCGTTAAAATTTTCAGTCAAATTTTTCAAAAAGAAAAGTCATGACCTTAGTCGTACTGAACCCATCAACTTTAAAAAATATTTTAAAAAGTAGGCCTACCTCTACAGAGTAAACTTATAAGTGATCAGAACTTTTTAGAACATGACAAACATGCATCAACATAATTTTGATACAGATATATATAGCAGTGCTCTTTGCCGCTACTAGAAAATGCTGCATTAAATCATCAAGTACCGGTATTCAGAAAGATTCACAGACAGTGTAAAGTACAACAAATCATTATCTGACAATGACTGAAAGTGACTGACTGAGTACAGACCATTTGTGCGCTGGTTTGATCAAGTAAAAAGAAGCACATTGTACATAATAATGGTCATTTGGAACTAGGAAAGAGTCGGAAAGACGGACAGAACAAAGAGAGACAGAAAAGAAGTAGGATCTACCAATGGCACTATCCAAACACCCAGTCTTGTAAGTATTCTTCTGTAACTTGAGTAAGACTCCATAAAGCAGAAAAAATGTCATTGTCTTGAGCTGAAGCTTTTTTACCAAATTTTTTTTTTAAGATAAAAAGCACGGAAGACAGAACAAACATGTGTCTGCACAGACTCCACAGTTGTCCACACAGTCGTACACACAGTTGTACACACTACACAGTTGTCCACACTACACAGTTGTACACACTACACAGTTGTACACACTACACAGTTGTACACACAGTTGTACACACTACACAGTTGTACACACAGTTGTACACACTACACAGTTGTACACACTACACAGTTGTACACACAGTTGTACACATTACACAGTTGTACACACAGTTGTACACACTACACAGTTGTCCACACAGTTGTACACACAGTTGTACACACTACACAGTTGTACACACTACACAGTTGAACACACTACACAGTTGAACACACATTTGTACACACAGTTGTACACACAGTTGTACACACTACACAGTTGTACACACTACACAGTTGAACACACAGTTGTACACACAGTTGAACACACAGTTGTACACACTACACAGTTGAACACACAGTTGAACACACAGTTATACACACTACACAGTTGAACACACAGTTGTACACACAGTTGTACACACAGTTGTACACACAGTTGTACACACATGGAACAATCAACTTGTGGAATCATGTGAACTTACAGTACACAATCCATAGAATAGACAATGTTCAGCAACATCAACATCAACAACAACGTCACCAACTACGACAAAAGCAGCGACATCATAAACATCAACTACTCATCTTAGGTCACAGCTGACCCTAAGTGTCCTGTCCAGAACAAGGTCATGAAGAGCAGCCCAATTCTTGGCAATGTAATGATAAATGACACCAATTCTTAGCAATATAATGATAAATGACACCAATCTCAGCAATATAATGATAAATGACACCAATCTCTGAAATATATGGTCACTTTTAAGCACAAGGGGGCTATCCCGAAAAACGATGTTTCGAGAAAATCGAAGGTAAAATTTTTGGATCCTTATTCAGTTTCTTTAGAAGACAAGGAGAGTCTTCTCTATAACCAAACAAATATACACACCAGTGAAACCAAACTTCTCCAATAGGTAGGGCAATTCTGGAAACCCCCGAAATCTGGGTTAGCCCGCTTGTCCTTAAAAGTGACCATATGACAAATGAAATCAATCTCTGCAATATGATATATGACAAATGAAATCAATCTAATCTATGGAACAATACATCACAACATCACAACAAATATATAAGTAATCAGAAACTAAAACCATCAACAGTTTACAATTGTCACATACATGAAAATCACAGAAGTTATTGGAGAGAATATTATACCTGTATGTACATAGAATGATGAGAATCAGGAAACACAAAGTAAAGCTCAGGCTGCTACTGGTAAAAATTTGCGAAGTAAACATAGAACTACATGTCAGTTGTTTTTAAAAATAAAAAATATTACACAACCCGCATCATTGAGTGTTCTAAACAGCTCATGAAAGCCTTTGGAAGAACAATAACACAAAATTTTTCAAAAACCAAAAAGTATTGAGGAATGGAGGAAGAGTGTCCACATTTGCTGAATCATGGATATTGTCTGTGTAGCCATCGTGTTGATGCCAATAAAAAGTACCAACAAAAAAAACATGCTGCGTTACGGACACGATACAACACTCAAAATGGTAATGACAGGCCTAGAGTCACTACTGCGGCCCAGGATCGTTATATCCGTGTGCACTACCTTCGAGATCGAACCACAACAGCAAGGTCTACAGCTGCTCAAATCCCTAGACAAGGGAGAAATTCTGACCAGACAGTCCCCAATCATCTCAGGGAGGCAGGACCATTTGCTCGAAGACCACATGGCAGAACGTCTCCAGTGGTGCCAGCACAGAGTGACGGGTGACAGGTACAGGGATGAGATCCTGCAGCCTCATCTTGTTCCATACCTGAAGGCTAATGCTGGCATTTTCCAACAGGACAAGGCTCATCCACATGTCGCACGGGTATGTGAGGACTTCCTGTGTGCCAACAACATTCCGACTCTACCATGGATTTGTCTCCAATTGAACACTTATGGGACGAGTTGGATCGACGGGTGAGACAGAGGAATCCGCCACCTCAGACACTCCCAGAGCTCCTTGTGACACTCCAGCATGAGTGGGAGACCACCCCGCAACATGTTATTGAAAACCTGATTGCATCCATGGGTTCTCGAGGCCGAGAAGCGAACAACGCAAATGATGCTCATTCCAGTTACTGACTCTTCGTATACCCCATTCTGTGAACAAGCTTGTGTAGGACATTTGGTTTGTTCACCAGGACTAACGTTTTGAACATGAGTAAAGTTATCATCTGCAAGAACATTGCTTTATTTTGTTCTTTTTATTATGTTCGCTTTAGTAAAAGTTTCAGTGGTAAAAGTGAGTAAAAAAAATACTTGTCAAAATTAAATTCATCAAACTGACAAAAGTATCACCCTAACAACCTATCAATATTTGTTTTATTTGTTAGAGTAATGAGAAGAATACTATAATACTATACAATTAACTAATACTATATATAGATCTAAACTTATTTTTACAAGATAAAAATTATTTTAAAAATATTACAAATAAGAATATTCGCTAACATAATTTATGTAATAAGTGTAGTAGAAAAAAGATAGAGAGACGGACAGACGGAAACAAACGAGGGCAAGAAAAGAAGTAGGAGGTATTAGTGGCCCCTTCCAACCACCCGCCATCATTCCGTGTCCTCAGTAACCAGATAAAATTTGTGTCGCCTTCAATCAACATTTTTCGGTAAAATTCACACAGATATAAATATGTTTTTCAATGGACATGAAAGATGTTTAGCCACACCAAAAAATTTGATAAAAATTGCCCAACACACGGATAATCGCCTGTTTCTTCAAGTTCATTACTTTGACGAGTCCCTGAATTCACCACGCTGCCTCACATTTGTTTGTGACCACCGCCCCCTCCCCCAATCCCTGTTAATGACAACATAGACAGTATAGTTCAAACTGACTCGTGATGAAGATTGTGCAAGTTGTGACCTGTAAAACTGACGACACAGTTCTGTGTCCCTTGTAAAATGACAGAATTCCTCTGCCCATCCTCCCCTCCCATACAATGAGTTGTGAGCAGGTCTGTGGAACCACATGCAGTTGTATGCTAAGCCTAGCCAGCCTAGGCCCTACCCTGCAATGCAACTTGTTCTGCAAACATTAGACCAAAGTCATTTACACAGGCGAGCGTTTGAACGAATTGGCCTTTTTACACAGAGTGAGCTTCGACAGAGCCCAGTGTACTTTGCATGAACCCTTCAATTTACAACATTATCCATGGTCTAAAGCACTTTAGGTAGGCCACCTAAAAAAATAGAACTCCACTTGCTTGAAACTGAACTAGACTTACAAAATACATGTATACTGTGGCACTGCAGCAGCTTAGTTTTCAAAGACAGTCGTTGATGCATTTGGTATTGCAACAAAAAGAAGACCATGACTGTTGTGGAACCAAACCTGACCCTGTTGTTTAGGAATTGTATCAACGGAATCAACGGCTAATATAAGCAAGCACTTTGGGGTACCAAATGATCTTTCCCCTTATACCGTGTCAAGCAAGACACTTTCACAACAGATGTCCCTTTTGTTACCGTAAAAAATTTTTAAATTCTTACTTTTGCCACATCTATTTTATTAAAAACACTATTAAAGGACCTTAAAAGTTGGGCCCGAGAACTTTGTCATGAGCGAGTTTCACTGTACCATGGATGTTGGCAAAATTTGCCGTTCCTGATTGCTTCAGATGTTACATATACATCGTACTAATTCTTCTGTACCAAGATTCATTCACAAGCCCAACGCGGATTTGTATCTGGAAATTTAAAAATGTGCATATTCTGGTTTTAAAATTTTCTAGTATTCCTTTAGGCCTACTACTAGGCTTACAAGTGATTGATAAACACAGGTGTTGTCTTGCAGAAGAAAGCGTGCTCTTGCAAAATGTAAACACAAAAAATCGACTTTTAAAAAAGGCAGCAAATTGCACATTCAAACATAGATCTGCAAGTTGTTTGCAAAGATGAGGATGTTAGGGAAAATGGGGATGAGGAACGTGACGCTATTGAAGACCTAGGGTTGGAATATGTCATGAGTTGACCAGCACAAGACCGCAAGGACACTGATGAGACTGCTCGCTGTCCTGGATCATGAGCTTTGCTGATGGTAAGAATGTACACCCCCCGGCAGTGTAGGGGTTACACTGACAAAACTGTCCACATCATGCCAACAGTTTTGTCCTTTCATCAGCCTGGTCCAGCACCCGCACTTCCTCATGCAGAATCTCGTCCAGGTGTTGAACCAGGGGCCGCGTGTGAACCTCCAGGTCAAACTTGTTGAACTCTCTCACATAGGTAAAGAAGAAAAAGAGAAAGGTCATGGCTGTGACCCACTCTCCGGCCGTGCTCACCACATGAGCCGAGTAACCCTGAGGAGCACACAAAAATCTGGGGTAAGAACTTAGTTCACTTATGTGAAGCAACACAACAAAATGAGTCACAAATCGCATTTCCACAATAGAAATGGTCGCTTTTAATGACAAGCGGGCTAATCCAGATTTTGAGGGTTTCCAGAAATCTTGGCCTACGCTTGAAGAGGGCATTTCCCTACTTATAGGAGAAGTTCGGTTTCAGTGGTGTGTAATTTGTTTAGTTGTAGAGAAAACGTCTCCTTGTCTTTAAAAGAAACTGACCAAGGGGCAAAAAGTTTATCTTCGAGTTTCTCAAAACAGCATTTTCGGGATAGCCCCCTTGTGCTTAAAAGCGACCAAATGACACAATGGGTATCTTGTCCTTCTTCTTTGTATTCCCCAGCTAGATGTCAATCCACTGCTGGTTCTTCAACTTGAAGAGAAACTGGTTTTTACATATGTGCCCGTTTTTCCTACTTTGATGAGCCCCCCCCTTGCCTTCAGGCTGACAAACTCTGGTTTACCCGCTAGAGAATTTTCAGTTTTGGAAGGAATTAATTTTGAATTTTGCAGGGGTAGTGGCCAAAGCCAATTGATTTTAAGACCACCAAAGAATCTTTAACTCAAGCAACTTGCACACAGGACCTCCGAGAATTTTTTGCCCTTATCTGAGGTCAGGTGTTCAATCTTACCTTCCTTATGATCAGTGGTGTTGCTGAAAGACAGTGGTAAGAAGGATGCGGGAGTAGCAGCAGAAAGTCAGGAGTAAAGGAGAGAGCAGCTCAGAGAATGTCGAAGGTCGGGATGGGGATGGAAAGTGGAGATTAAAGCAGATGGCAGAAAAGGACTAGAGAACAGGAAATAAGGTGAGAGGAGAACATTTTAGAGATCCCCGGAACTTTTGAATGAGAGGCGAACACCCTACCTCTAGACCACAAGAGCTCCCTCAGGATTGGTATCAAATTAAAGATCTGTTCAAACCCTACGAATACAGTAGAATCTTTCCAAACAACCACCTGTACAGATGGCCACTTTCCATTTCCCCCCTTGCATTTTTTCTAGAAAATAGCACTGCCTAAAACGATCATCTGTCCAACGTGATCGTGGCTATCATCAACCAACAGACTGAAATACAGTCAAACCTGCCCTGACGGCCACCTCTATAAGACGGCCACCTGTACAAACGGCCACTTTCCATTTCCCCCCTAGCGTTTTTTCTATTTAATTTAACTGTGTAAAACGGGCACCTGTACAACGCAGCCGCGGCCACCTTATTTTAACACACAACCTCTATCATACTGAGCAATAACACCCGTTTTAGTTGGCCACCTTAGAGACTCCATTACGTTTTGTTATAAATTGTGCATTGGCCCCTAGCGTTGTGGGCGAGCCGTCATAATTCAATACCCTGTTGTTGTTAGGTAGTCCCTCCAACCGATCATGTTGCATAGGCCCCTCCCACTGTTGACCAATAGGTACCAATTTACCCGCCCAGAACTTATACACAAATCATAAGTGAGATGAGAGGTCACTGTTTACCCAGTCTGTAACAAAGTAACAAAGGACGTCAACATGAACTTGTGACAGAAGCGTCGCTCGTTCTCCGAGTGGTGGCGACCTTTGGGTTTGTTTTAACAAGGCTCTCGGTCTTCCTCGTCTGATACATTTAGTTTTATTGTCACCCTTGCGCAAAATCAGCGACAAAATAAAAATTACAAACAAAATACAAACCAACAACAACAACAACAACAACAACAACAACAGCGAAAACAATGTGGCTACTTTCGATTGGGGCCTCAGATGGGAATGGTTGTTTTCTTCATCTTGATTAGTCCTGCCTAAGACGGCCATCTGTCTTATAAGGCCATTTTTCTCCTTGACAATGGGTGGCCGTCTTACACAGGTTTGACTGTACCTGTCCAAGATGGCCACGCTTATCTCTCATTGCCCAATGCTTTGCCATCAATTATTCATCAGCTTCAGACTATTGTTTTAGTTTTAGTTTTAGTAAGAGTTTTACGGCACTTGCAACACAATAAGGTCATATAAGTGCCGAAGATTAGAGGTGTTACAAGAGAGTAACAAACACAAAAAAGAAGGAGGGGAGATAAAGAAGATAGAGATTTTTTATAGGAAAGAAGGAGCAAACCAGATCAGAGCACTCGCCAACCACCCACTGACTATTGTTGGCCTGTCCTGTGAAGGAACCAATGGCTAACCAGTATGTTGTACAAAACGAAGTTTCTGGTCCCTTCCACTATTTACCAAAGTCCACCAGTCGGTAACATTTTAATGGGTTTAATCGCAGTCCTAAGCCTGTGACTGCCTTCTGTAGGCTGTAGGGACCTCAGACAGGAAATTGCTGTCAGCTGATGTCATGATTGAGTAATCTACTTCACATAGATTTATCGTTCTTGCCTTGTGCACACCAGGAATAGGTTGTTGTGACTGAGTGGTATACCTTGTATCATGTTGTATTATGTATGTGATGGTCTTGATGATTCCTTCCTTCTAGAAGCACTTGGGAGAAGAGGCAAATTGTTTATCACAAATTTTTGGCTACAATAAAATTTGTCCTTGGCAATTGATTTTGACATCAGATGACTTAGATTTATGTACAAAGGTTTGTTTTCTTCATTTTGACCAGTCCTGTCTATGACTACCACTGTTCTCCTCGATAATAGGTGGCCAACTTAGACAATTCCGACTGTAGTAGAAAACAGTATCAGTCTGGCTGCTTTGATTCCAAAGTTATAGTAACTAGAAGTTGGGAGAGGGAAAAACACAGAGTTGTGAGAAAATCGACCCTCCGTTTCTCGAAACAGCAAAGCGTAATAGGTGATTCATCTTATCATGCTTCTACACAAAAACTGTGGTGGACTTAAGAGTCAAGTGTGTTTAACTCAACAATGGGCTTAACAAAACTTCTTATCAAAGAAGAAGCCAGGCAATGTCACAGTGGACGGAGGAGCTAACCTCATTGCAGGTGGTAGAATTAACCCTTTCCTGTTCATATCCTTCGTCAACAAAGCCTCCCCCCCCCCTCCCGTTTACTTCACTTCCTCAGCACTAAACAACCTCTTGATGTTCACATTCTTTTTCATTTAGTGGATGTAAAGGTAAATTCTGACCACTAAAGCGAGCTTTGACTTTTAACTCACAGCAAATAAAGATGTGGTCTTTCAAAACTTAATAAGTCGGTTTTTCAAACTTTTGTGAAAATCTGTCTCATTTTCTGGATGAGGAGCCCATACTCTACACAATAAGCGAGGCACAAAAACTGGTTCTGACATTTTGCTCCAACAAATGAAGATGTGGTTTTCCAAAACTGGGCAAGTTGGGATTTCAGATTTGGGTGAAAACCTGTCTCATTGGCAGAAGCTCAACCAAACTCTACATAATATGCAACACACTAAATGAGTTCAGTTGGTACTAAATGTGGGCCCAAACATTACGTGGTTTTCCAAAACTGTAAATTATTCTGCTATGACATCTCAGAACCCATTGAGACAGTCGGAGCACGCAGAATGGGACAAAAATTTTGGGAAACCCCACATTTTTTCTTGTGTAATAATGTATTACCAAAATAGGTTAAAAAGCAAACTATTTTCTACAGGAAAATAAGACTGAACCTTAATGTCAGTGGTCTATCTGATCTTTGCCATAACCACTTTGCTAACTGCTGAAGAAATCTTTCGTGACCAACAAGCAGCATGTTAAGCCAGGTTGAATTCTTGAGCAACATTTTTTCCAGGATAGAATAGGAAAGGGTTATCAACAAGTTATCAAATTCCACGGCCCTCATAGGTCTCTACACTCAACCGGCTCCTTCAAGAGGTCGCCACCACTTCCGGATAACAACGTCCCAGTTACTGACCCCATCACATTTCTCTACCATCTGTTCATCAACAGGTCACAGCCAAAACATATTCATTTTAGTTTTAGTAAGTGTTTTACGGCACTTGTTACACAATAAGGTCAAAAGTGCCAAAGGTTAGAGGTGTTACCAGAGAGTAACAAACATAAAAAAGGAGGAGAGATACGGATGATAGATGTTTGACAGGAAAGAAGAAGCAAACCACACCAGAGCACCCACCAACCACCCACGCCAAAACATGTGAGGTGTAATAAACACAAAGAAAGACTGAAGTAGGGCACCTACCAACCACCCACTGAGCTGTACAGTTTACTTTGGAAGAAGGAGAAGCACAACAAGTAGATCTGCCACCCACCAAAACACATAAGGGTAATTTTTAAGGTCTTGTAATCTGATCATGGTTCACATAAATAAGTGTGTTGACCAAATAGGAATGTTTTAGTTTTAGTAGAGGTTTTAGGGCGCTCGCAACTGCATAAGGTCATATGAGCGCCAGAAGATTAGAGGTGGTACAAGAGAGTAACACACATAAAAAAGAAGAAGGGGAGATAAGGACGACGGATGTTTGATAGGAATGAAGGAGCAAACCACACCAGAGCACCCACCCACCGCCCACGAGCACTTACAGGGTCACTGGGCGCCCACTTGAATTTGCTCTTGTCAGGGTGTTCTGTTGAGTCCCACTTGTGTAGAGCAAAGCCCGCCGCCACGATAGCTAGAGGGGATTACATTAAGGAAACAACACCACCGAGATAAAAGGATGAGTCTGTGGAATTTGAGTTGGACTACAGAGAAGCATACCGACATGTTAACTACGGAGCTGGTAAAAAACAAAACAATTAACTATGAGAGAGAGAGAGAGAGAGAGAGAGAGAGAGA